CCACCTAAGGCGAGCTTGAGTGATGTTTGCTGAACGAGTGAATTCACACGGGTGACGGGGCGCCAAGCCTCCTCCCTCATAACTCCCCTCCCCCTCCAGGATCCCGGAGCCTGAAGCCCCAGGGAAGCCAGCTGTCCCTGCCGCCTCCACAGCGCCCCCAGCGGACTCCCGGGACCGCCGGAGGTAAAAGGCCCGGCAGTGGTCTCCCCAGGCTCTGGAGAGAAGGGTCCTCTCCACGAATTTGCCTCCCCCAAGGGTGTCAGCCAAGGACAGGCCCAAAGGAACCCTCCCTGAGGTCAGGGCTCTTCATGCAGGTCCTACCAGATGCCTGTGCGCGACGAGGAGTCAGAATCCCAGCGGAAAGCTCGCTCTCGCCTCATGCGCCAGTCTCGGAGGTCCACACAGGTGTGGGGGGCGGGCTGGGGCCTGGGCTCCTGGGTCTGAGGGAGGAGGGCTGGGGGCCTGGATTCCTGGGTCTGAGGGAGGAGGGGCTGGGGACCTGGACTCCTGGGTCTGAGGGAGGAGGGCTGGGGGCCTGGACTCCTGGGTCTGAGGGAGGAGAGCTGGGGGCCTGGACCGAGGCCCTGACTGCCCCCTGTGCCTGCAGGGGGTGACTCTGACAGACCTGAAGGAAGCAGAGAAGGTGGCAGGGAAGGCCCCAGAGCCGGAGAAGTCATGCACACAGAGCCTGGTGAGAGGCCGCGGGGTCAGGTGACCGGGCTCGGGTGGTACAAGCAGCCCTCGTCCTCTGACCCCCTGCCCCTCTCCCACAGGACCCTTCCTGGCAGCCCCGAGTCCCTGGGGTTGAGAATTCTGATGGCCCTGCCCAGAGAGGTGAGGTCTGGTCTCTGGGAGGTCATCTGAGCCCGCCCATCCCTCCCGCTGCAGTCTGCCCTTCTTCCTGGAGTCTGGGCCCAGGGACCCTGACACAACAGAGAGGGAGTCCTGATTCTTGCCCCTCCCCCAGTAGAGGCGCCTGACGGGCAGGGACAGGGATCACAGGCCTCCAGGGAGCACCGCAGAGCTGGCAAGGAGAGGAGAGGGCCTGCGGAGGTGAGGGTGGGCGGACCTTGGCAGGGGTGGGGTGTGGGGGACGGGGCACACCCCCCTTTGGGCATCCCACTGAACCCCGCCCCGCCCACAGGGGGAGGAGGCCAAGCCCGCGAGCTGGAGCAGTGAGGGGTGGGGTCTGAGCGGAACTCGCCCTTCAGGGGGCGGGCCCTGCGCCTGGGGGTGGGGCTATGATCCTGGAGGCGGGGCTTGCGGTGAGCAGAGGACTCAGCCAGAATCCTGGCCTGCCTTCCCTCTCCCACCCCAGCACCCCCAAGGCCAGCCCTTCTCCCCGGAGGCCGCGCGCCCTCAACCCAGAACCCAAGCCCGAATCGGAGCCCGATGGCGGCGGCTTCAGGAAGGTTGGAGAGCCCCACAGTCTGCCTTACACACCTGCCCTCTGCCTGTCAGTGAGCCCCGCCTGACCCCCTGTCCCTCTCCCCGTACCCCCAGCTCTACGCAGAGCTGCGCGTTGAGAACGAGAGACTTCGCGAGGCCCTGACGGAGACCACGCTGCGGCTGGCACAGCTCAAGGTGGAGCTGGAGCGCGCCACGCAGGTGAGGGGCATGGGCCCTGCAGGCGACCCTGGCATCGCAGTGCAGAGGCTCAGGGCCTGGGAGTCCAGGAGCTGGAGTAGTGAGGGGTGGGGTCTGAGCGGAACTCGCCCTTCACGGGGCGGGCCCTGCGCCAGGGGGTGGGGCTATGATCCTGGAGGCGGGGCTTGCGGTGAGCAGAGGACTCAGCCAGAATCCTGGTCGCCTTCCCTCTCCGCTGGTTCCCCGTTCCCGGCCATGGCGGTTTGGATGTTGCTCTGACCCCTGCGCCTCCTGCCTTCCCTCTCTCTGCTGGTTCCCCGTTCACGGCCATGGCGGTTTGGATGTTGCTCTGACCCCTGCGCCTTCTCTGTCCCCACCAGAGGCAGGAGCGCTTTGCAGAGAGGCCGGCCCTCCTGGAGCTGGAGCGATTCGTGAGTGGGGCAGCTGGGGTGGGGTCAGGCCATGTCCCCAGCTCCCAGCCTCTGGAGGTCTGCGTGGAGGGGACACAGCGACCCTCTCACCTGGCCCGTGGACCTTTCCCCACCATCCTCAGCCTCCCTCTGGCCCTCCCCAGCCCCCCAGTCCCTTGCCCTCACCCTCCCCTGTTTATTGCAGGAGCGCAGGGCCCTGGAGCACAAGGCCGCTGAGCTGGAAGAGGAGCTGAAGGTGAATGCTCACGGGGCGCGGGGGGCCGTGGCTCGCCTGCCGGGGCCTCCAGCTGACCCGTCCCATCCCACAGGGCCTGTCCAACCTCCGGGCTGACAACCAGCGCCTCAAGGATGAGAACGCGGCCCTGATCCGCGTCATCAGCAAACTGTCCAAGTGACCCCGGAGGAGTTGCCCTTGCACCCGCATTTATACAGCTGCTTCTGCCACACGCACCCCTTCCCCTGTGTGAACACGAGTGACAGGGCTGCCGGGGAGTCTCTGTGAAGCCATAACCTCCCCTCGGGACCTCCAGGCTGGGAGGGGAGGACAGAGCCCCCAGGAGCCAAGGGGGCCCTCTGAGGCCAGGATGGAGCCGGGAGCTGAGCCAGGTAGGGGACCAGGGCTGCAGGCAGGACCAGGAAGGAACCGAGGACCAGGAAGTGCCAGGACCAGTAGCCAGGACCAGAGTGGCCACCCGGAGGTCCCCTCTCACGTGTGCTGCCACCAGTCACCCCTCCCGCCCCTGAGCAGGGATCCGAGAATGTGCCAAGCGTCCCGCCGGCCTGGGCCGGGCGGGCCTGTATATAGGGTCCGTGTGCAATAGGGAGGGACGTCTTCTATTTTTTGCTGCCCCCTCCCCGGCGCTGTCCGGGGCAGGGGGAGAAGGTATTTTCGAGACATAGCACAGGCACCACAAATAAAAGTCGTGAAGTTGCCACTCAGCGGCTGGGTCCCCTGCTGGAGGTGGGGCGCTGCGCCTGCCATGTGCTGTGTGTGGCAGGGTCGGGTGCTGAGGGCGGAGGTGTGTGCTCCCCGGCTGGGGAGGGCCTTCAGGAAGAGCCTGCTGGAGCAGAGGCCCAGCCGGGCTGACATGCTCACCAGCAAGTGGCTGTGAGAACAGAGTGGGGAGCTTGGGTCTTGTCATCACTGCTTTTGAAACAGCATTTAAAATGTGGGTGATTCACATAGAAAACTCTGGAACTTCTCGGAAAAAAACAGGAAGCCGCGACAGTGAGCGCTCAGTGCTGCATGGTAACAGCTGGAGCTGAGTAGGAGCCATGCTCTTCCAGGGTGGGGCAGGCATTCGTCTACCCGTATTCATTCATTCATTCATTCATTCCTGGTCATACTCTGCATGCCAGGCCCTGGCTTACCTGTTGCTGATACAGTAGTGAATGAAAAAGGCAGCGATATGAAACATCCTAGGAGAGGGGCATAAGGCACCCAGCAACAAAAGGAATGCATTTCAGGTGGTGGTGCTATGGAGAAAAGGCAGGGGCTGGTGTGTGTGCACACGCGTGTGTGCGTGTATTGTGTACAGGGTGGTCAGGGTAGGCCTCACCGAGAAGCTGGCTCAGGCAGGTACTTGAAAGCATCAGGGAATGAGCCATGTCGGTATTTGAGGGAAGAGTCCTCTGGGTGTTCAGAACGCATGTGCAAAGGCCCTGGGGTAGAAGTGTGCCGACATATTGAGGCACAAAGAAGCCCATGTGGCTGGAGGGAAGTAGTAGGGGATGGGTTTGGAGAGGTAATTAATGGCTGGCCACGTAGGGCTGTGGCCTGGGAAGGACTTGAGCTGAGGGCAGACCTACATTTGAGCAGAACAGTCTGGGGGAGGGCAGTGCGGGACAGAAACGGGAGACCAGTCCGGTTTGCTCATGTGGGTCAGCTGTCCAAGCTCCATTCCTGTCACAATCCCACCTGTCAGGACACCCTGGAGGCAAGCCCCTCCAGCGTTCCCGAACCATTCCAGTTAGCCTGGCTGCGTGGGGTTATCCAGGAGGGAAAACTGTGGGGCAAGCAGGTTTGGGGACCCACTTTCATCTCTGGTCCTCCATTAGGAATGATGGGGGCCCAGACAGGAGGGTTAAGGTCTAGACACCCATGAGGGCCAGGTTGCCCCAGGAGGAAGGAACGGCAGGAACCGGGCCTGGCAGCAGGAAGAGGGAAACAGAGAGGTCGGTCCGAGAAGCGGGTGACCCTGGCCGGCCACAGGCCATCCGTGGCTCAGGTAGGAGCTGAGCTCCATGGGGCGGGGCCAGCCGTGGCCAACGCTGCTGAACGTCCAGTCTGCACGAGGCTGGGCCACAGAAGGCCAGCCTGAGCCTGCTGGCCAGAGGGGAAGGAGCTGGTTCTCCAGGAGCCAGGAGAACTGTCACCTGGCAGGATGGCGTGGCCAGGAAGCCTGTGGCTGGGCCCCTGGCAGGAGGTGGGACGGCGCCGAGTGGATGCTGGGAAACTAAGCGGGGACGGTGTGTGTGAGAGACGGGCCTCCTGAACTGGGTGCCTGCGCTGGCCCGGGAAGGCTGAATGGGAGTTCACCAGGTGGCAGAGACTTGCTGTCGCAACAGCAGAAAAACCAGCGGTTGGAGAGGTTTCGGGAGTGTGTTTGGAGAAGGGCAGGCCCAGAATGCCACGCGTGGAAGAATGAGGAAGAGGCGAGGTTGCAGAGGTGGGTAGGGACCAAACCACTCGGGCCCTGGGATTCCAGGCTGTGGGGCTCGGAGGGCAATGGGGAGCCAGAGGAGGGTGTTGAGCAAGGGCGGGGCTGGGACACTGGGTGTTCAGAAGGGCTTTGGAGTGACCGGGGGCCGGAGGTCAGGAGGAAGCCTGGCTTGGGGCTCTGGGTAAGGAGAGGGGGACTCGGAGAAAGGAGCCGGCGAGGGTGGGGGCGTCTCCTAGACTCTAGGACCTGGATTGCTTCCCTCCCATGAAGTTACAGCCGGGTGAGGGGCAGGGTCCCGAGCGCCCCGGGAGCCGGGTAGAGAAGGGACAGCAGTTGGCACGGCCTGTGAAGAGGAGGCTGTTTATAGACTGGGCAGCACATGGCAATGAGCAGGGCTGAGCGCGCCACGAGCGCGGTCCCTGCGTGGTCTTTCCCCTGCCCCTCCCGCTCCGGCCCGTCCTCGCCCAGGACTGTCCAGCAAGGATGGTCCATTTTATCCACGGGGAATGGGAAGAGCAGGATCGGAACAGGTCCGCGGTCCGTCCTGGGGTCTGGTTCCCTCGGCGGGGGGTTCTGCATGCAGAGTCCATTCTCCCACGGGGCGCGGGGAAACCCGCCGCCCGGACACCGTTCCCGGAGGTCCGGGGAGAGTCAAATGACCTCCGTTTCCATCTCGCCTTCCACCTTCTTCTTTTGCTTCTCCATCACGGCCTCCAGCTCTGACACGTTCTCTTTATCCTGGAGGGCGGGGTGGGAGTGAGGACTCCGGCGTCCGAGTCCTGGGCGC